GACAGGGCTAGGATTAGAGCTTTCAGTTCACCACCCAGGCCTGGGCACAGGTAGGGGATGAGATCTATACCAGCTCCTGCCCGTCCCAAACTATGGCAGGAGCAGGGCAGAGTTCCACCAGCCACTGGGTCTCCTCACCACAGTCCTGTCCCCAGCCACATCTCAGCTCTCAGTTCTTGTGGCCCATCAGGGACGAGTGGCAGTTCTTGGCATTTCTCCCCTGAACCAGGCTTTTCTTGGAGGGGGCAGGGAAAGGCAGGTCCATGAGAGGTCCTAGGGTTCAGCTTTTGGCCTCTATCCCCCTGTCCCACCCTGTCCCCGTGCGGAGGAGGCACCTACCTGAGCAGCTGAAGGTGTGGGTGTCTGAGGCAGGGCCGACCAGACGGGCCAGGTCTTGTGCTGAGGACTGACCTGGCTTTATAGGGCTTAAGCCCCACGCAGCCCTTTATGGGTGAGGAAGGCGTGGTGAGGGAGGTGTAGCCCGTGGTATCTGCGCCTGACAAATGCCCCCACCCTGAGTGTTCTGCCATGCACCAAAGGCAGCTGATGAAGCTGGACCTGGTGTTGGGGCAGCCTCTACGATGGCTGAGGCCAGTCCTCCTGCAAAAAGGCACAGAGGTTGCCAGGCGCCGGTGGCAAACACCTGTAATCCCAGCTATTCAGGAGGCAGAGATCAGGAGGATTGAGGTTCGAGGCTAGCCTGGGAAAATAGTTCAAGAGACACTATCTTGAAAATACCCATCACAAAAAAGGGCTGGTGAAGTGGCTCAAGGGGTAGAGCACCTGCCTAGCAAGTGCAAAGCCCTGAGTTCAAATCCCAGTACCACCAAAGGAAAAAAAACCAAAACACAGAGGTTCCATGTAGCCAGCCTCAGGTTTCCTATGGGATCAGGCAGACAGGGCCCAGGGGAGTGAGGCCCACTGGAGACAAATGACCTGTAGTCCTCTCTTGGGGTCTCAGACCCCGGCATCAGAAGCAGGGGCTTCTGGTTGTTTTTTGTTGTTGTTTTGTTTTGCTGTTGGTACTGGGGCTTGAACTCAGGGCCTCACGCTTGCTAGGCAGACACTCTACCACTTGAGCCACTGCACCAGCCCTTGAAACAGAGACTTCTAATGCAAGGCTGACCTCACAGTCCCCCCTACACTGGGGTTTCTAACACGTTCTGCTCCCTCTGAGCTTCAGTTCGTTACATCCACAGTAAAAATACCACTGCTACTCAGTTTATAGGATCCACATAGGACCTAGCATTCAGCAGATGCTTGATAACTACGGCCCCTGCAATCCGCAGTTTCACTTCCATGTTTTTTAGTCACCCAAAGTTAACTGTGGTATGAAAAATTAAATAAAAAATTCCAGAAATAGCCAGGTGCTAGTGGCTCAGGCCTATAATCCCAGCTACTTGGGAGGCTGAAATTAGGAGGATCACGGTTTGAGGCCAGCCCAGAGAAATAGTTCAAGAGACCCCCATCTCCAAAATAATCAGAAGAAAAATGGACTGGCAGTGTGGCTCAAGCGGTAGAGCACCTGCTTTGCAAGTATGAAGCCCTGAGTTCAAACCCCAGTCCCACCAAAAAAAGAAAAAAGGAAAAATTCCAGAAATAACTCAGAAAGTTTAAATAACTTGTATGGCAATATTGTTACAGTAAATCTATTATTTATTGTTAATTTCTCACTGTACCTAATCTACTTATTTCTTGTTTTTATATTGGATCTTGCATTCAACAGGCAGGCGCTCTACCACGTGAGCCACGCCCCCAGCCCCTTTCAGTTCATTTATTTATTCATTTAGGTGCACTGGGGTTTGAACTCAGAGAGATTTTTTTAAATTGGTTGATAGGGAGCCTTGTGAACTATTTGCCTGGGCTGGCTTTGAACCATGATCCTCCTGATCTTTGCCTACTAAGAAGCTGGGATTACAGACGTGAGCCACTCCATCTGGTTTCTTCATATCTTTATTGACAAAAAAAAATAGTCAACAGCATTTCAGATTTTGTGCAGACATATGAAAGGTAATAAGGGCACCTGGTGACAGGTATGATTTCAGAGATATGGGTCAAACCATGCTAGAGGGCGTGGGTATCCCTTCTGACCTGCTCCCTGGCATCTCTCTATGCCTCACTGACACCCAAGAGCACTTGGTTGTGTGGGGCCCACTCACCCCCAAGAAGAAGACCAGGTTCTGAGGAGCAGACAGCGATATTTCAGTGCTCACGAGACTGAGCACTCCTGGGCTCAGCCAGCATTACCCAGAGCCCAGACCTGGGGGCAGCCGAGACTGTGGGTCACTGGTCATGGGGCACCCCCAAACGTATGGGCAGACCTCCCTCTGATGGACAGCCAGACTCTCACAGGAAGAAGTTTTCTGCCTTTTTTTTTTTTTTTTTT